CCGGGGTGCTTGGGTTTTGAGTACTGAACACAAAATCGTTGGTAAACAGCCATACTAGAGAGACAGGACATCACCTAGAGCTTCCAGCTGGAGAGGCCCGGGTTTTCAAATTACGGCATTCAGTGTTTGAAGCTACGACTTCGGCCGTAAAACCTAAAGCCTAAACTCCCTGTCACGAAACCCTGAGCAGAAAATTCTTGAACCCTGAACCATGACAGCCCTCATCCCAAAAGTCCTCCCTAACCCCCGGAACCCTAAACTCCCAAGAGCCCAAACCTTCAACTGCTAAAATGAACACGAACCTTCTACATCCGTGAACCCTGTTCCACGCCTTGCGCTTCCTCTTCATACTCCTCTTCAGCCGCCTCTTCTGCGTCCTATCATCTCCCACGCAAGTGATAGGAGTTTCTGGTGCTGGTTTCAACACAAGCCGCATCACTTCATCCGGGCGAGGCAATTCCCTAGGCTAGCGGCTAGCATACTCGTGACTTCCTGTGCTCTGCGTACTCTGTTTACCATCCGCAGCGGATTCAACTAGCCTCCATTCCCCGGCATGTACGTGCTTGTCGCATCACTGGAAGGCTTCGTAGCTGTTTAGTGTAGGAAGAGGCTTGCCCCAAACAACCGATAATGGTTCTAATTGTAATTCGGCACAGAAGTTGTCTAGAGGTCAGGATCTTGGGTAAGGGATCCGAGATTTGAGAGGGATGTCGCTCTCACGAACCAAATCCCCGAGCGAAAGCCATCCCCGAGGCCAATCCTAGCTATACCCTCTTCTGTAGTTCCACGTCCTGGCTACCATTGTTGCAGGACGTTGCCCATACGAAACTCATCAACCGAGACAAACACTACCTCAGAGGGTTTAGGCAAAGCCCAAGAAAGCCCCATTTTTATGCCCAAGCCCAAGAACCCGAAACCTTTGACCCTAAACCCAGAAACCCCAAATCCTAACCCAGGGTGGGGTTTGGGGCTTGGGGGCCCAAAGGCAAAAAGTCCTCCGATTCGCTCTTTTCACCATCCGGGCTGCACGGTTTCCAAAACCGTCCAGTGCGATAGAGAAGACCGGAGACAACAGCCTTCACTGGCTTCAATTTTGAAGTTCCTTTGAGGGCTCTGTAAGGTGTACTAGAGGGGTTAGGGTTTTCGAGTTTAGGGGCGCTTTTACTTAATTTAAGTTACCATGATAGGGAAACCAAATTATTGCATAGACCCCTATTATGGAAATTTAAACTCAGCTCCTTAGCAAGAAGCCAGGTCAGAGGTTTGCAAGCCCGCAGCCCTGAACCTAAACCCAAATCTTAAACTCGTACCCCGAAAGCCTTAGCACCGAAACCCCGCAGTGCCGCGAGTGACCGAAGCTCCGAAAGAAACTCCCACATGTCGAGGACTTCGGGGCGAGATCGGGTACTTGGATCTCAGAATTCCTAAGCAGGGTGCACAAGATGGGTTATGCAAGCAATATGTGGCACTGCATGGGTACAGGGATACGAAGTAGACTTCTTAAGTCCCAAGATCCTCTATGGCTTAGACTTTCGATCTGCGGTTGTGGACGTTTCGTTGCTTGTTTACCTTCTATTGTTCAGTTCAGTTGAACGTCCGCCGCAAGCGGCAGTCGCCAGCAGTCTTCCGATACCTATGCCCGCAAAATCCGAAAATTCACCTCGCTCAACCTTGAACTCCGTCCTTGGCGGTGCGAGCACGTTCGGCTGCCCCAGCCCGTCCAACTCCTCACAGCAATTGCCAAACAGGCAGGCCTGAATGAGCAAAAATAGCATATCATCCCACAAGCAAAAAATTGCATATCATCCCACAAGTACAATAAGTATAATAATAGTGCTACACTGTTACATAACTACAAATATCATGAGGCCCTCATGACGGTTGCGCGTGGAATTGGCGTTCAAGTCAAAACCCTGCACGACAAGATCAACATCAGCAAGGATTGACAGCAACAGCAACGACTTTGACAACATGAGTAAGGTGTTACAGCACCGACCAGGCCTGAACACCATGAAGCTTGATGCGTCTGGCAGGAAGCATCTACAAGAGACTAGCTTCATCAACCAAGACAGGGCCTGAAAGATTAGAACGGCAGGTTGGCAAAAATTACTTTAGATTGCGATTCGGGACTAAATGGGGGGTTGCATTCATGAGACATTCCGACGCCTGTATATTCACTCGACAGAAACAAGGAGCTCGCGAGCAGAGCCGACCATTACAGAAACTCGGGAGGACGGGTACTGAAGATGAAGCTGATAAGATTTAGGGCTGGGGTCGAGGGTTTTAGGTTTTGGGGGGTGTGATTCGAAAATGAGGCAGTTCATTTAACAATTCTAGATCCAATCATTAGACAAAGAAACCCAAGTATCCACTTCAGACACCAAGACGTGGCCCCCTCAGCCCTCGATCCTTCAAGGTCGTCACCAAGACTCATATCTTCAAGCATTCAGGCTCGGATGAAGGTACGTAGGATTGTTGATCCCTTGTATAAGGGCTCTCAGATTGTAGGATCATCCCACCATCTCCCTCGGAGCTCTTTTGAAGTTGAGAGCGGTCTTACTGCCCCCTCTCCTGCTGGGACGCTTCGAGCACGCACCGGCTCTGTGGTTTCAGTCTCCTCGTGGGGGGGGAGGAGCTCTCTGTAGCTACCTAGAGTCCTAGAGGCTCCATAGTAGTTCCTTTTTGAGGTTCATATTTCGGATCCTAGAGCGTCATCCCAAAAAGGAACTACTTTGGAGCCTTTGGGTAACAGCTCCTAGACCCCAAATCAAAACATGTGCGTAACAACCCCTTGGGCTTGGCTTGAATATACAAGATCGACTTGCTCTTTTCGGGATGCAGAAAGGCACCAGAACGCAGAGAACTGCTTCATCTAGCATTTTGCAGATACGTGTCACACTGAACGGATGCCTCAACTTCCCCTGCTAAATCTCGAGACTGGAAATCGTCACCCGTCCTCCGAGTCGCTGAACGCAAATCCCTCAAATCTAATCCAAAACCTCGAACCCCCAAACTCGTGATCATGCCGGTATATGCCGGTATGACCATGTGGAGAGTGGGCTCAGTGTTCAGGATCTTCAGGAGGTGGCCGTAAATCGCAATTCACGATTTAGTAGATGCATGCATCAGCTGCACGAGCAAGGCAGGCCATTTGTCATGGTTACCAACCTCACACCTCAAACCCTCAAACCTGAACCTACCGGAGATTTCCGGAAGGTCGGGCTTCCGCTGTTTCGTATTGGGGCTCGCAGTTCGGGGTTTAGGGCTTACAGCCGTTCTTGGGTGCTCACGGCTTTCGGGGGCTGAGAAGTGACGGACCACTACTCGGTCTTTCAGGGTTTAAGCTTGCGAGGTACTGCGTGAAAGAACGAAGTAGCAAATCTCCAGATTCAATTCTTAGAAGACTTGCACGAGGAGATTAGATGTCATGATGCATGGCGCAGGGTTAGGTTTAGAGCTCAGCGTCTTCGGGTTTTGGGTTTTGAGAACAGCTTTCCGTCTTGACTTGCGCAAACAAATCCTCAGTGCGTGCAGCTGTATTTCATTGTCTTATGTCCCACTATTATGTATTACCATCTATTATATTATGGTGTATTGTCTTGTCTTGTATTGCCTAATGCTACATTCTATTGTACCTCATGATGCCATGTTATATCATTATGTTCTGGTATGTTATAGTATGTAATGTTTTGTTATGCTATGCCATATCATATTCTGACATAGTAAGCTAGGTCACATGATGCTAGACTATATGATCTGACAATGATATGATATGCTATGATAAGATAAGATACTATATTGACCTGTAACGTTTTATATATTGTACTATAGTGCACTATCTTATCAGTATTACAGTATAGCTGAAGGCACTCAGTATGAAAAGGGTTGGCTGACACGGAGAAAGGCTGTCGCTTTTGGATATCTCAGTGAACCTTGGAACCCCGAACCCTCGAGCCGAACTGCATCTCGGATCACCTAACCTTCAGTGATCTCATGAGCACGCCTGCCGTTTAGTTCGAGGGGCCAGGGTTCCCATCAAGGTTCACAGCTTGTAGGACGTGTGGTTGTGGTTTTTTGTATCCTTCCCATAAGCTGAAGGGGGCTCTTTGGTGCTGGCACGACGATAGGCGAGTCACGTGACACAGTCTTCCGCTCTGAATGGCGTCACAAAACACCCGAAACAAATAGTGATAGGCATTCATGAGCCCCAATCTGTCCAATGGCTCAAATCTCGGGGCTCCTTCAAGTGAAGGAACGTCATGCGATACATGAGCATGGGAGCCGAAGCCATCAGTGCGCAGTAATGATCTCGTCAGCTAGACACCACTACCTGTGACTCTTTTGAGCCAGCACTGCAGCCACGCGGTGTCTGGAGATCCAAACCCCATGGTGGGGAAATCAACGAATAGTTGCCATCACACAGTGTTGTGATCAGTGTTACGTTGGTAACTCTCGAAGCTTCGAAACAGACTCCCGTCAGTAGCACCAGCAGCAGCAGCAACTCACCGCAGTAGCCGTCATCATCGTAGCTGTTGCTCTAAACACGGCAACCAAAGACCATGAGCCCCAAGTCTGCGACAGGCCGGCACTGCTGTACAGACCAAGCAAAAGCACCGAAGCACTGAAGCAGAAGGACTCAAGCCTTAACGCCCTAACTAAGTCCACAAGTATTGAATACTATCAGTCCTGCCATGATACTATAGACGACGACTCCTCAGACTATGACTACTCATCTTCTTCTACTTCTACCACTACTGCTATCGTTTGCTGTTTACCAAAACGGGGTGGTGCGGAGACAGGTGGGGGAAGGCATCTGAAGTACGGCTGTTGACTTCGAGTATCCCCAACAGAGGAGAATAAATCCGACTTCAAGATCTTCTAATACAGAGGCCTTAAAAACTAGAATATGGTTTTGGGGTCGATTTAACTGTAGCTATAAAAGGAACCCGCAACATAGTACTGGCAATGATTTAGGCCCAAGAGCAGAAGCAGAGCACGTCCTTGGGAATGGCCCGATGGTTGGTGCAAAGCGGGTGCGTCACCTCAAGGGAGCGAGGCTGTAGGTGAAAAGCCTGTTCCTTTAATATGGGGGGGCCAACATAATTACCTACACTATCTTGGGGGTCCCTTATTATATTTATAGTATAACGGGCCCCAAGACCCTATTCTAATCATTAAGGCCCCTATATCAGGCTTCGGAGCTCTGGGGTTGAGGGAAGTGGTAGCTTAGCATTTCAACTTGTGGGGCACAGGGATTCCGAAAGTTCGCGTGCCCGGTTCAGGCCGCACGGAAAGGTTGTGGACATTGGCACTTTCCGGGGTGCTTGCATCGCGAACCCAAATACCACGGCAGTAAATCCAAAACAGTAGCATCAACCATGAAACCTTCAACTCTACACCCTAAGCCCTCAACTCTCTACATCAACACCCTCAACTAATGTCCGAACTATAAACCCAAAACCTCCGGAGCTTGGGCAAAGGCCAATACGGTGCCAGGCTCCTTGAAGACCTGACCCAGGCGCAGACTTTTATCGAAGCCTAACCCCCCAAATATCAGGCATTTTCTCTTAATCTGACTGGGGCTCTTCCCTTTGGTCTTGTATTGTATAAGTTAAGAAGCACTTTTGAGGGATACTACTGATTACCATTCCGACCTCCATACCTAGACCCCATCCGGATGCTTGGCTGCGTGGGGAATGGAGGAGCTGAGGGCTTCCAGAGACTCAGATCCCCTTGTGCCCGAATAAGTCTCGACTGTCTCGATATCAGCAATAACTGTGCCATCGAACACTCTCAAAGATGTCAATCCGGCCACCAAGGCCGTTCGCCGTTGCGGCATATCTTGTGAACTGCCTGGTACTACCCAAGCCGAAGGTCGATCTTCTCCCGCGAAACTAACTACACAAGGGTATGTACTTTGAAAACCCACTACGAAGCCCCAGTGCAGGGGCCGAAGTGAAGGGTTAGGTTCAGTACAGGTTTTGGGGCTGGGGGTTTAGAGGCTCCAGACCTCTGCCATTCTTTGGAACTGATGACAATAAGGGTAGAACAACACAGACTTGTATGTGTGTGTATGTACATATATATATATATATATGACGGGAGTAATATCTGTTGATGGTGCACTATTCTCAACTCGAAGCCCCTGCGCCGTCGTGAACCCAGAGCCCTAAGCCCTCCTAAACACCTTAAACTGCTCTAAAGGTCCCCTGGACTCTCTTGGGGACTTTTGGGACGGTCTGGAGTTTGAGATCCACTCACCCCCAAGCTCTGCTGTACAGAAATGCCACAAATCCTTGTAGCCCCCTCTGTAGCAATTAGTCGGAGATCCGGAGACCAACACCTCTGAACTCCCACCTCGGCGTTCCAGACGACTTCCTGTGCTTCCCAATGAATGGCTTCCACGGGCCCAGAGGCGCAGCAGGGGTCTAGGAGGCCTCGTGAGGCTTTTCGAGTTTGAGCGGCGGAAGCTTGAGGATGAAAAGACCTCTGCTCGTCTTATACCACGTAGCTGGGCTTCAGTAGATGGCCTCGTCTTCCTCCTGCTGAGCCCTGCTGTGTCTCGAAAACAACTCTAGCACTTCTGATGTTGCAGTTGCCGCTGAGACCAAATGCCTGCTGCTGAACACGCTGCTCTACTGCTGCTACGGAGACCACAGAAACCGAAACCCTTGCAAAACAACACCCTCAAGGACGCAAAACCAATTAGAAGGCAGCGACAACTTAACATCGGAAAGTCCCATGATTTCTCCCGATGCAATTGGTGTCCTAAGCCTTGTTCGACAGATATCGTTCTCCTGTCCAAACTGCACTACCAAGTTATTCAACGCACATGTCATCAAGACAACCATAGCAAAGGTTCCATTTTGCGACAGGACCTTCTTCTAAGGAGGTGCATTCCCAATGCTCCTGCTACTCAAAAGAGACCTTCCTAACTACCACCATCCCAAATGCCAAATCCTAACACCCAAACGAACCTATGTGCATCGCACGGCCAGAAAACTGTAAACCCTAAACGCCTACACCCGTAGTTCTATGAATCCCTGATTTCTTCCCCATTAAAGAAAAATGTCCCGTCGACTTTGGAATCGCCTCCATAGCACTGGCGCCCTCGAGACCTGCTTTTGGGTCGGGCTTGGGGATTTTCGCTTTAGGGTTTAGCTGCACCTGCATGAGGACTCTGGGATAAAAGGCTTAAGGTTGCATGGATTTTCTGTGCTACGGAAAACCGGTGCCAAGCTGATACCAGTGGACATCCTTGTTCATGTTGACAACTCGGAGTAAAAGTAGTCATCCCTGACAGCTGCAGCCGTGAAGCATTGTGACCGAACACCCAAAGAAGATCCCACTTGATTGCAGTACGGTTTGAGTAACTTTCGGTTTGGGGGGAGGAAAGGATATCATATCATAAGTTGCTTCGAAAGCTCATTCCTTCGTTCGGTCGATCTCGTCTGCACAGCACAGTGAAAGCGAGGAACTGAGCGAACCCTGAGCCCTGAAACCCTGAATGCCTCTAGAGCCAGTCCTGGAAACTGCAAAAAAGTAAATCCTAATAATAGTTATAATAATAATAATAACAACAAAATAGTAATGCTGCTAAGAATAGTAATACTGCTAAGTCCAAAACCAACCGACACCAACTCTCTCCCTTTCTCTCTCTCGCGCCCTCGCCCTCTCACACAATGGAGGTCCCGAGCGTCCAACGAATGCAGGCCAAAAGCGGGACAGTGCCACGCAGCCGAACAATTACACGTGCAACCAACACCAACCCCAAATTCCAAACAACCCCTGAACCCCAACCCCGAAACCCTCAACATACTTAAACCCGAAGCTCGAAACCCTAAACATCCCGACAACCCTAAACCCGAAACCCTAAACCCTGCAATCTTGAAATCCGAGACCCTCTCTGCTTGCAGGGTGCCTTTCTCGCAGACAAACTCCCACTCCTTGTCGAGACCGCGTTCTTTGGCGAAGCAGAAGATGCGATCAATCTCAGCCTCCCACAAGCTTGAGAGTTGCAGGGTTCGGGGTGAAGGCTTTCGATTTCGGGATTTGCAGTTGGCTTCCGGGCCGATTCAAAAGTGTTGGCCTGGAGGGTGTTGCTGTCAAGGCGTGGGCTTTAGTGGCTTTAGGTCTGGGATTTGGCATCTGTTTCTCTCTGTGCTGGAGCGGTCGCACACTCAGGCTAAACTCCACCTCCTAGCGCACTTTCAGCTTTGCTGATGAGGGCGTCTACTGACACTACTGTGATGCAATGGCTGCCTGGTCGTGCAGCTTCAGACTTTGGTGCGAGGCTCAGGATTTATCGCCAGGTGCTGACAACTTGTGGCAGCATTGACGGGCATTAAATTTTGTAGCCCCAAAACACCATACGCGAAACCCTGACACCCTAACACCCTAAACTCCGCCCATAAGCCCGGCCACCCTGAATCCGAACCCGCTTGGGAGCTTCAGCAGCTACCTAAAACATGTGATCGCCAGTGTAAGGATCCTACTTGCAGGATCATGGGACTTAGTAGATCAGACTAGAAGTACTAACTGGGTCGTATGAAATGCTACCCTATGACTATAGTTACTCGATTCTATTTCAAGCTGCTTTCTCCCATGATCCTTTACGTAGGACCCCATTGTGGAACTAGAAGGTTCCCATGCTTCGACTTTGAAGGTTTGAAGTTCAGGCATTGGGAGCGTGTCGCGTGACCCCAAATATCACATCTCCGGGCCAGCCCAAAGCCGCAAGAGCTGAAAGCGCCCTGTAGCTCTGCTTCCATGGCCCTGCCTCATCGCCCATGTTCCAGTTCCGCTTATGCCTTTGGCGCCGTCAGATCTTCAACACACGATTGGCGATTTAGGGTTTAGGCGGTTCAAGGCTGTAGGATCGCAACTGCTAAACGCGTTCCGTCGGTATTATGACAATGATCTCGGAAATGACCTGTTTACTCAAAGAGAACAGCAGGATCTTGAAGGCTGAATGGCTCGGCCTTGAACAAGCTGCGTGAGAAGCCAGAAGCGATTGGTGCACAGCTTTGCAGACATGCTACGGCTACTTGCTCTGGTTGTTGCTGGATCAGCCAAGAGCTGACGTCAGGAGAGAAACGCCCTGCGACCTGAAACCTTAAAGCCGAAACCCTAAAGCCGAGGCCTGAATACGAAGCCCAAGCTCCAAACCCAAGAAATGGGATCCGGACAGCAGCAATGCAACTTCCCATGCTTGCCGCTCTATACAGCGGTAGAATGGGTTCAGCCTCGTGAAGGGGAAAGCGATGGGAGGCTCAGGGTCTTGGGCCTCAGGCTTAAGGGACAGGTCCTTCTTTACCAGGGCTACGGTACATCTGAGTCTGGGCTTTTTCGACTTTTACAAGGCTGAACAGCCGTGTTATGCCGCTGTGGCAGCCTGGGCTTCGAGCTAACGCACCTGGTTTGGATAATTTATGCTGGGTTTAGGTTTCGGGCTTCAGCTACGAGATTTCGTGTCGAGGGGTTGAGGACTGTAGCGTTTCAGGGCCTTGGGTTTGTGGGATTTGGGCGAAGGTCTGCGATGGTCACGAGATTCGGATAAAGGTTTCGGCGTGCACTTATTCTAGGAATGTGTCTAAGTACGCGATTGACGGCTTGTCTGAAAATATTCGGAAACCGCATCCACAAAAGCTCGAGTTCTGCGGCATTGAAGAAGCTGTTTGCGTTATGTCCTGTGCACCTCTCCGACATGCGATGAGTCAATGAGTCCTTCAGAAAACCCGAACCCAAGTCCTCCACCCCACGGTTTGTTTGCGGCTTATGGTTTCTTTAACGGTGCAGTGGTCTTTCTCCGCATGCGAACGTGTCGCAATCCTGCCTGAAGCTCAAACATACACGGTCTTAGGGTTGAGGGTTCAAGCTGAAACACAAAGCAGCCTGCAAGCGAAATACCCTAAACCCCTGAACCCCTAAACCCTAAACCCTAGCTCCTAAACCGCAAAATCCAGAAAAAGCTGGGGCTTTGGCTCATTTGGGAACAGCGACTGATCTGAGGCCTCCAAGCTGCTTCGATATGCCTTTTACGATAAATACCAATGTAGAATGACGCATCATACAAAATATGCTATAGAATGATTGATACTTTGGTAGAAAGTTCCGACAAATATAAATGTACGTATATGCGTACATGTACATATACATAAACATATACATATACATATACATACACATATACATACACATATACATATACAGATGCATACATATATATATATATATATATATACATACAAAAACATAAACATAAACATAAACATAAACATAAACATAAACATAAACATATACATAAACATATAGATACATATACATGTGTATATATAGGCAGATGTCTGTGTGTGTGTGTGTGTGTGTGTCTGCGTGTGTGTCTGCATCCCTTTTTGGATGTTGGGAGGCTTAAGAGACGGTAGAGGGTCATTTGAGTCTTCGTGGGGTCTACCCTAAATAGCCCCAAAGGCCTGAACCCTCGACCGAAAAACTTGCTGGTGGGAGCTAGTGGCTGTTTACCTTGGAGTTGGACTGCTTGGGTTTGTCAACCTTTAACTTTAAGAGCTGCGTGTTGAGGGTGCTCGACATCTGTAGGTATAGGGTTCATAGGGTTGTCAAGCAGATGTGGGAATGTCAAGCCCTCCGTGGCGATGGGATCGCTTTAGGATTTGGGACAGCCTCGACGTCCGTTGGGACTCGGCGTCGCATTTCCCACATGCCACGGCTTTTGTAGGATTAAAGCTTACTAATATTGCTACTATCAATACCGCCATTATTCTACGACCATAAATATTCCCATCATTACCATTAAAAAAGGGGCCAAGGTTTGGCGCCAGTCCGCTCAAACCCCTTCCGATCCAAAGCAACACCAAAAAAGGGCCTGCAGAACGGCCTGAACGCAGGGAACACTTCGAGAGTCGATGGCCTCAGAACGGAAGTTGACTTCAACATCCGGGCTTCAGTTTCGGGTCTAGGGCCACGGGCTTTAAGGCTTCAAGGCTCCATAGAGTTTCTTCGGGGGTTGCGAGTGTTGCGAGTTTAGGTTTCAGTCTTTTGGCTGCACAAGACTTGTTTGCGATTTTCTCATGCAGTTACGTAGTGTCCAGGATCCACCCACCCGTCTGTAGCTCATCGAATGTGGTTCTAGAAAATGCTCCCAAATCCGGCCGACGTCCGATTTCGAACAAGTCACACGAAACCACAAACCCATGGCCTCGAATCGCAGACTCGTGTGATAAACGGCAATGGATATTCTAGGACCCCAACATCCTCTACCCAAACAGCCTCTCGATATGCTCAAGCCTCAGAGGTCTGAACTACCGGAATATATTTGGGGGAGTAGATTATCGTACACATATGGGGATATAAGGGGATACGAACTAATGCGAATACTCATTATTCAGTCAGACCTCTGTACGATTCCATATTCCTCTAGACCCTGCAGCCGGAGTCCGCAACTCTTCCCAGAACCTTGAGACCTGCAAACCCTGCAGAAAGGGCCCAATGATCGGTAATAGGGCACAGGGTTGTATTACACTATACATCAACCTATTGGAGCACCTCTACCACATACATTTACTACTCTGAATCCACTGCTCTAAAGCACCCGAAGCTCAGAGCCACGCGTAGTGCAAGGGAAGCAGACCGTGATCATCTTGAAGACCTCTTTCGGGTGGGCAAGGCTTTCGGTTTTGTGGCCTAGTGGTCACAGGATGATGAACTGGTTGCCGGGAAGTTTCGGGGCCGGTACCTTTTGTTACTGTCCAGTTGGCGGTTGCAGGCCCAAAGGCCGTGAAGGGATCACATCGACGGCCGCACTTAGAGTTCGTATGTTCCTAAGGTCCTGCTTGCCAGAAGAACTCGCCAGCCCGTAACTTCAGTACTGGTCTGAATTGGCCTCACTCGAAGCCCGAAGCCTCGAACCTGAAGCTACTACTGGGGGGCGGATAGGGTTACGGATCCCAGTTTTACTGTAGTCATATTCAGGAACTCCGAGGAAACCACCCCAATTTTTCGAGCGTCAATATGACTTGCTAGACCAGCCTGCTTCTGCCCCCTTCGCCAGCAGCCTTGCATTGAGCTTTGGACGTTGTGTGTCGTAGGGCTTGGGACTGCTTACAAACCCAGGGGACGCCTGTAGGCATTCCGCGTGTTGATAATAGAGCGGCCTATATCATCACCAATACTATGTTGGGGGTTCCTTATCATACTTATGGTAAAATTGTAAAATGAGCCCCAAAACCCTATTCTAAATATTAAGGCCCCTATATTAGTTTCCGGTGTGGGGATGACAGTCCTGACCCCAGGTACAAGCCGCTTGTGGAGCTGGACATGTGCCCCCAAGCCCTCAATCCAAAAACCTTGAGAACTCTTGAGGTTCCTCCGCGGATTGGGTGCAGACTCCGAAAGGCCGCAGTGTGAACTCGAAAACGTCCCAGCTTCCCACGCCCAAAGCAGACAAGCACACCCCTGAAGCCGCCAAGAAACATCTGCACAGCATCGGCTGAGCCAAAGGAGCAAGCCTTTGTGTCCGTGATGAGTGCGTTTTCACACTCAGGGCTTCCGCTTCTGTGGCATAAGGCGTGCGGGTGTTGGACCCAGCGTCCAGTTCACGGGTATCTACACTTCTGGGAAGCGATGGCCGTCGTCGTTGTCATCAGTTTTCTGCTTAGGGGGCTTGGAAATTGTATCTGAATTCTCGTGGATTCGAACTTTTGGAGTTGGGGATGTCGGGGGCTTAGGAATTTTAAGTTGAGGGTTTGAGTGGGTCGAGGGCTATGAAACTTGGGGCTTTAGGGTTGAGGGTTCGTTGAAAAGATTGTGACCCCGCCTGACCTTAATAAACCCCATGATCTAAGCTCCTACATCCTGAAGCGTAGATCCCGAACCCGAAATCGTAAATCAAGCCCAAGAAAGCTCGAAGAAGCAAGACAGGGTTCTGCAACAATGCGGCCTAATTCTTGCAAAGACTACAGGAATCTTAGCTTCAAGCGGGAGAGCGCATAACATTACAGAGCATCGACAGCCAGGCTTCCCGACCACATGTAAGGCATTGCGCCCTGAGTTGTCCACCTTGCAGCCAGAACCCCAGGGCTTGGGGTGCAGAGGAGGGGATAGGTGGGTGGGAGCTGGGCTGTAAAGAGGTAAGCGCTATTGCGTTGGGAATCTATTGAGAAAGTTTTGCGATTGTTGATGCTTCGGCTCTGTTGTGTCGAAAAGCGCGCCTCTAGTCTCCAGCTGCGTTTGTTCGAGAGACCGTTCCCAACCACTGGCTGGCAGCCACTAGCAGCTTGTAGGATGACTTCGTGAAATTCCGCCACTGCTTGGAATCGGACTGGAGCTTCAGATTAGTTTTCAGATGTGTTCCAAAAGCAAGTTAGAATCTGGTCGACGGTTTGCCGTGCATAGTAATGGTGCAAGTGAGTTCTGAAAGTTACTCCTCAAGTTCGTCCAGAGATTCTCCGAAACAAACGAGCAGAAATCGCGCCATGAAGAAGAAGATAATCATCAACAACATCATCATCATCATGATCATGGTCATGCATGTATTCGGGACCTGAAGCTCAGAAGCGAAAAAGACAGATCTCAGATTTTACGACTCTACTCCCCCAGCCCTGAACCCAACGGAGTCAACCGCTCTCGGCTCGTTCATAATTATCACCCTCATCATGATGTTCGTCTTCGCAGCAGTTATCATCTTCAATTGGTTCTCGTCTTCCTTGTCGTGGTGACAAGAACCCTTGCCGTCATTGTTTTCATTACAAGCCCGACGAGACTGGCAAGCATCAGCACCTTCGAATCTACCGTCGCTCTGCTAATAGCAGCTCGATATTCCGTTCAGCCATCTGGCATCGACGGAGAAATCATGACGATGACAATCGCGTCGGTGAAGTAGCGAGATAGGGCGCGCCTGCTGGACGAGAGGGAGCGGAAGCTCCAGGAGAAGCCTCGTTCAGACGTGCTGTCGCAGCAACGTGTGCAAGCCGGGGCAGTTAAACAATAAAACAGAATCCGGGTTTCTGTGCTCATGTGAAGTTCTACGGATAATGAGAGTACAGGTTCCGTGGACTGTGCGAAGATCTGCCGGGCGTGCTGGCTGCTGGCATCGTCGCAGCATCTCGGTGTCTATGCTACAGACGACGTCTATGTAGAGCACCCCTCACATGGTGATTGCTATGCACAGTTGTCACTTCACCGCTTACTGCCGTCTGTTTTTAACTCTTGCTAACTCATGACATAACGTAGCAGCTCGTGCGAGGGGAAGCGATCATCTCGTTTCCGTTTGTCAAGAGCCTCAACCAGAAATCCTGATGTGACTCTGCAAGCTGCTGACCCCGCTGGAAAAAGCATTCTTTCTCCAAATCTCACACCTCCAACCTAAGGCCGGCGTCCGTTGAGAGAGACGAAAATCCTTAAACCCCAACTTCAAAAACCGGCCCTTTCGGTTTCAGAGAGCACGCGAGCCCCGAAAGAGGCTCAGCTGCGGGCTGCAGGCATTGCAGGGACGAGGCCGAGGCCTTTGTAACGATGCTGACCCTGTTGCGGTTCGTTCGGGCTTAGGTTCAGCAAGCCCAGCTGCCCTGTAACAACACGGAAGATGCAGGAACACCAATCAGGAAGACATGAAAGCCACAAAGCCGCAATCCCTCAACGGCGGTATAAGTCAAGGGCCTAAGCCTCCACCATCGGCAATGGGTTTCGATCATTTCTCGTGTATACCAGAGACAAGTCAAGGGTTGGGATTTAGGAGCGAGTGCTTCGACCGCACGGTCTAGGGCACAAGGGGAGGTTTCGGGTTCAGGGTAGAGGCCTTGAGCTTTGACTTTGGGGTTTAGAGCCGCCGGTCTTCAGGGATTAGGATTTTCAATTTAGGTCTTCAAGAAGGCCAGGATTTTAGTCTTTGGGGCTATAGGGTCGCAATGTATACGAGAAGCCCCAACAATTCAAGCACCAGCCATGAAGCAAAGATCCCCTTGCCCCCTAAATGCTGCACCCTAGCCCAGAACCCGGGTTCAGGGTTGAGTTTAGGGATCACTAGAGTTCACCCCAAACCACACGCCCTGGAGCACCGAAGCACCAACAAACCCCTACCGCCATGGTCCCGGGCATGTTCCAGCTGGATGCCGGAAAGTGCCAAGTGGTGGCAAGGGACCTGATCCTCGGGCTTGGGCTGCTTTCGGGGGGGACCTCGATGATGTTTTATAGGGTCTTACGGCTGTTAATGAAACCTAAAGGGACTGTAGGGGGTCATGTTTTCGAATACATAAGCTAGTCTCTACGTTAGGCTGATCCAGGGCTTTAGGGGTCTTGGCTGGTCAAGTTTCGAAACTCTCTTTCGTCGGTGCATGTCGAAGAAAATTGTGCCTAGACGCTTGGCTTTGGGGCCTAAGAATAGGGCTTAACGATTTCCACCTTTTCTCAAGTCCATCCGGCTGACGAAACTCTGAACCCAACAGGCTGTCTAAGATGCCGTCGTTAGCATGGGAGAATCCCTTTAGATGGCATTGCGCCCTTGGCAGAACAAGGGGGCTCACGAAGCTCTACCAAAGCTCTCAGGGACTTCCGCAATTTTGTACTACACAAGAGTCCCAGCTTTTGAAGCCTCCATGCGAACACCGACACCCCGAATCAGAAGTACCAATCCTCACCCACCCACCCCCTCTGAAAGCCCAACATGCAAGAGTTGGGTCTAGCCTGTAAGCAAAAGTAGCTGAGGCCACGAAGAGAATCCCAGACCCAAGCACTCCCTGAACCCTAAACCCTGAACTAAACGCCAAACTAAGACGTGCCTTGTCCTTGTCACCACCAGCCTGATGCCAGTCCAAATTAGGAGGTACTACTATCAGGACTACCATGAAGGGTCTGCCGTAAGGGAGCTATATGCAGAGTGTGTCGCGTGCTCTAGGGCTTTGAAGGACTCTGGTTTGATGTGTGCGCATGCTTTCAGAACATGTTTCACGCATCTATATTAGAGCTGCAGCCTTCACGTGTAGTAGCACTGTCGAGCCCGGTACAAGAGCACGCTTCAAGCTACGAAGGCCCCAAAGGTGCAACCGTAAGACGCTTTCGTTTCCGATAGGAGAAACGATCGCAAACACTGCATTGCCCGGCAAGCTGGCGCCCGCGAACTATCGTATGCCAAATCACATACAATTAGCACACTTTGACAAAACCCACAATGAGTGGCTCAAGCTGTAGCCCCAGGCTACCGGCCCGATCCATTCGCGAGATGCAGAAAGTGTGGGCTCGAAGATGAACTCCATACAATAGGATCCATTTTGCAAAGTAATAACTGCAAGTGTAGGGTTTCAGGTTCATGGTTTAGGTTTTTTCTTGGTTCTCCAATAAGGATTGAATGTGAGTCCATAATGTGAAGAACAAGGACTAACGCATGTGATGCACGGATCATATTGCTGCTACCACCGTAAACCAGCAAATATACACCCACCACTCTCAGTGATGTTATAGATCCTGCTTGTGCCTGCTGCATATCGATGCTTGTGACTGCGAGCCTGGTAGGGCCGCAAAGCGAGCTCTGCAAATCTGGGATCATCCTGGCCAGGTGTTCCCGAGGTTGCGAAGCAGAAACCGGTTGACGGGTTACGCTGTAGGTGTGGGGTTACGGTTTAGGGGCAAACATGCTTGTAAACCGAAGCTTCATTCGAGGAGGTCTCACTCAGCGGCTTGCTATGGTGACTCGGGTTTAACATGGGGTGTGGGGTCGTTTCAACACTCAGGCATGCTTCCAGGACAACACCACCAAGCCCTAAACTTAACCTACCCTGCTTCAAGATCGGATGCAGAAAATAGGGGTCCCCCAATCAAGAGAGGGACTCTAAGATAGACCCGAATGAATCCGTACGATCCTTCTCGTGAGTTCATTCATGGCCGTAACTTGGACCCTGTGACCTTCAGACGCCCCAGATGCTCTTTAAGATGGCGCCCTGAATAGTCGGTTAATGAGGTCCTCGTAGCTAAACCCCTAAAATCCTACATCCCTCAACCCTGAACTCCAAACCATTACCTCCTGAACCTAAACCCTAAAGTGTGTTTTGCGTAAGCATCAGGGCAGCTACGGAAGAAATCCGAGGCCTCATATGAGAGAAGCAGCTTCACCAGATCCGTTCCTTGGCAGCTCAACGCGCTTCTTAGCTTTAGGGCTAAGGGTCTAGGGTTTAGGGTTAAGGGTGTGTCGACAAAACGTCCACGCTAGGGGTAGATATGAAACAAAGCAGTAGGACGGGGCTTCGGGCTTGAGAGTTTGCTTGGGGTCCACGGGTCGGTTGAAGATTCAGGGCCCTGCGCAGGAAGGCCTTAGGAAGGCTTGGGGATTCAGGGTATAGGGCTTAAGGGAGTTACGGCGTATAGGGTTAATAAAACCACGTCGAGCAGAGAGTGCAGGTGATAAACTTCCCCGGCCGGTACCTGGCGGCCCTGAAGACACGAACCTGCCTTGAAAGCTGAATGTCACCGGCCTTCACAAGTGAAGCTTTCTGTCATCGCAAAACCGGTCTTGCTGTTCACAATCAGAAACTTTGGCGGTCGAAAAGGAACTTTCCAGCAAGCCGTGAGGCTCCTATCACATCTAAGCCTTAAGACCAAAGCCAAGATCTGCCTCTAAAGACTCCAAACGATGGTTACCCTATCATAGCGCCCTGAAGTAGTATTACCCATAATGCCTCCCTTTAGTTAGATCTTTCTAGTACCCTTATGGCTACTATCCACAAATGAATATTGCACCTGCGCCGCTGTTCCGGGGATTTGCGGACAAGGTTCTAGGACTATTCAAGCCTCAGCTTAAACCCTGAATCCTTTCTAGCAACTCGTGCGGTACCTCTTTTTCCACCTCTCAAAGGAAGCAAACGAATCCTTGTCGCCAAACTCTGCACAGGGTTCTCATGCGCAGCTTCGGGGAAAGCAGGGCACCTCCTCTTTGCACTTGGCTTCCCGGCGCCAGCGGAGAAGAGCCAAGTGCAACACCGTGCGTTTGAGCCTTGTCAACTACACTACTACATGATCACACTCCGATGCTAAAACCCTAAACCCAGTTCGCCGTTCATTGTGCAAGGCACAGGCCGCTTCCGCACAGGAGCATGAGCAGGTTTTGGAGCGGGTTTGCAAGTTCTTGGCGTTCTTGGGACAAGCTTGCCTCCACATTCCGCCCTCTTCAGCGTGAGAAGATCCCTCACCCAAGGTTAAGCACACTGGTGCAAGCTTTATGCTTCGATTTTTAAGGCTCTGAGGTGTGAAAGAATACTGATACGCGGTTACGGCCTTTCCGGGAGATATTATTGTTGCTGTTCTTGGGAAGCTGAGCATATAGTCTGTTGCAGAAAAGCTTCCAGCTTCTAGCTCTTCTACAGGAATTCAATCGCAAGTCAGAATTGCGAAGCCCAAAAACTAGACTCGACACTATGACCCTAGTCTGCAGTCACTCTGCACCCGAATGTCTAGAATGCCTGCCCCTCTCTGCAAAAAGACCTGCTCGACCCAACCTCTTTCTGCAATGCCCGACATGTTAAAAAAAAACTAAACTCGATGCTAAGGTCAACCCTCAAATTTGAAAGTCGATCTCGGGATCCCACCCATCCAGGTAGAGAAGCGCTTCAGGCCTGCATGTGAAGGACAGAGGCCTCTGAAAGAATGACCATTATCTCTACTCCTGATCTGAATAAGACAGATGTTCATGTATCCTTACAGGGGAATGTAAAATGGATGTCGACGTCAACAGCACCAAAATATACAGTTATGCCTTGGGTGCATGAACAACAACGCCACGTCGATACCTAGTTGCTTTGTCATGACTCAGGCTGCGACTGCAATGGTAGTTCTGGCGACCCCCGGTTTGGGAAGTTTGGGGCTCTGGGAGTTTTCGGGTTTCTTGCGGGGTCTGCAGCTGCAAGCTTCCGCCTTGAGGAACTCTTCAGGAATCGTACTAATGCTTTTCGGGCTTCCATATTAACTTCACGGATTTCGGACTTCCAGTCAAGGACAGCTTTGCCAGCTAAGAATCTCAGGGCTCTCTGTGATCGGACAGCTGGGAATCGAGATCGGAAGTTAAGGGAATGAACTCCAAGTACATGTTGAAACCCAGCGACCGAACATAATTACTGTTAGACACGCAGAGAAAAGCCTGAAGGCCTGAACATTTACATTCCGAACCCCAGTACTTACACTGTTGACTAACGAGTCTACGCATCACGCAACCTTATGCCCGACTCGAAAGCCGGCATCTTTTCGTGGTTCCGCAGTGCGCAGAAGCCATCTCACAGCAACGTTGGCCGTGGCCTGGTGGTGTTCCAGAAAGAAACTGGGCTTCACGCCTAGATAGACCTAGGCTTCCAGTTTGCAACTGAGGTTAGAGAATGTTTGTTTCCTATCTTTAGGCTTTCGGGGCTTGGGGTCTGGGATTATTCTACAAGTTGCCATGTGCTTCAGGGGGTTGGCTGTGGGCTTTCGGGCTTGGAGGCTCACCCGCCATGACGACGCCGACGACAGCAAGCCAAGTCCTCTCCCTGTCGTTCCTGTTTCCTTCCCTCTCTCACTCTCTCTCTCTCTCTCTCTCTCTCTCTCTCTCTCCGCCCCCCTCTTTCTTTCTTCCTTCTCTGAATCCTCCGGCCTTCAAAGTCCATCCAGGCACGCTTCGATCAACTTTAGATCTTTCAGCACCTCGGGGGCTTTACGGGTTTTGGGGCTGTTCGGGTCTAGGTGGGTTTAGGGGTAGAGGCCTTTAGGGCTTTAGGGCTTTAGGGTTTCATGGTTTAGGGTTTTAGGATTTATGGCTCTTGGTCTGATTGTCTGCCTGTGCCCTGCATAGCGCGCGGGTCAATTTTGGGCTGCGCATAGACGGACCCCATTTGCGAGTGAGTGAGTGAATGAGCTCTGGGTCTCGGGGTTTAAGGCTTCAGCTAAACTCCAAAATTCGCCGCTCATGTGCAGATCTTTGATGCCCAAATCCTGCTCCAGCTTGGAGTGGACACACGAAACTTCACTGTACATCACAAGTGCTGTCCTGACAATGACAAAGCCAAGGTATGGTATACCTTGCACGCCGGGCACATATCCGATCCGTCCACGCAAATGAGCGCATCGACTAGCAATGCCAAAAACTAGCGGCTGGTTACTAGCTTGTTGCGAAGACATGAAGCCGTCTATTTCGATCCACCTTTGCATCCCGTGCTGTTGGGCGCTATGTCCGCTATGACGCGATGTCATACATTCGGAGATCCACAATGACAACGGTTTAAGGCAGACTCTGAACAGCCTTCGCGATCCAATTTCAGTCCTCGTAAACCTTACACCCCACAACCTCCTCAACCTGAGCCTTACGTCGCACAACCATAGGTTCTTCACATCCGGCTAACCAAGGCATCCTCAATGACACCCAGGCACTCGCTGGCGGACACGCGCATGCAGCTCGGACAATCCATTCTCTGTGTCCTGAGGGCGTTCTGCTTCTCATTCTGGTCCTTTTAAGGTCCGTTTGTCGTGACCTTTGCGTTCCTCTGCCAGGCTTCTAACGCAAATTATTCCCACGCATACTGAAACCTGAGCCCATAACACCTGACACCCAGCTTCTAAGTCACGCATCGGGGGTGCAGGATACAAACCGCAAAAGCTGCACTAGTGCTTCAGATGGTTTGGGCATAAGGTTGAATCGAGGGGCGTTGATAACACTGGTGCTACAACTAGAAGAAGCTTTTGAGGTATAGTGTGCCACAGGTATGCAGGGACGATAATGGGATAATTTGACCCTCAAAAAAACGTAGAATCTGCATGTCGCAACAGATTCCCTTCCCGAGGCAAGGCCCAGGTGCGACATCCGAGTGGGCGCGCTTGTAGGGACCTCAAGCACATGACAGGCTCTAAAGCACCAGCCCCACTTAGCCCTGGACTTCTGGCGCATCTCAGGAGGCCTTGAGAATCAGGGTTCAGGATTTGGCTCAGGGTTGAACGGCTTTGGAGCTTTTCGGCTTGAAGTTTAAGGGTACATCGGGAAATCCTGAACCGCTTAAGACTTAGGAATCTGTGCTTGAATGGTGTGGGATTTCAGAATCTGGCCCTGGATTTGGCTGAAAGATGTGTACAGTCAACAGTGTCTCCAAGACTTCTTGCACAGGAGATCCGTGGCTTTGGGTTTAGGCTTCTGACTCTACAGTACCCCTCAACTCTCAACCCAAACCTGCCTGACCAGGAAAAGGAACCTGCCCCACAGCCACCAAACACACCCTAAACCCTGAGACCCCTCGACCATAAACCGCAGGTAGGACCCGGCCCCAGCCAAAACAGGCCCGGTTCGCGGAGCGATCGCACGGTGGCGGAAACGTTGTCGGGGGACAGGTTCCTTGAAGGACATTAGGGCTAGCCCATTTTTCCATCCTGCTGACACGCTGTCACGACCCCTCGCCGTATCGTCGAAGTTACATGGACCTCGAATCTAGCTGGTTCTCGTGCACTACAGCAGAAAGATTTTATCACCCGTCGGAAGAACAACATCGCAGGGACCGGTCAAGCAGCTTAAACTTCTGAAACGTTGCAAGCCTTGCACCCCGAAACACGACCACAACACCGACATCTGACGCAAAAGCTGTCTATACCCGAAGGCCTACATATGCCTGAAGCCTAAGTCAGCCCTAAACCTTCTCTCCCCTCTGAATGGTCCAACACAGAGGTTCGAATAAGTTGTAGTTATATCCCCTTACAGAGAGCCCCGATACTCACAGCATAGCACATGCCACAACTTTAATTGTAAGCTTATTCGGCAAGGAGCTTCAGGATTTTGCTGCTCACTGGCTGCATCATACCTGATGCAATTCATTTTGCAGGCTTTGGGGTTCGGATGCTGCCGATCAGGAGCCTATCGGGTGTTGTAGAGTTGCACTTTGTGATGCTTTCTGAGCAATGGTAGCTTGGGAACAAGCCCTTTGTCACCAGGCTATCCGAGACCGCTACAGCTTCCTGCATTTTCAGCCACGTCTTGCTCGGGTCTTTTCGTATAAGATCATAGATCACCAGAACTTCTGGCATTCGAGGTCGCGGTGCTTTGTTTGGGGCTTTAGTGCTGCCTGCTGGCCCGAAACTCTAGCCTGAGCCTGGGAGAAGAACTTGCTAAGATGTACGACACTCTGTACATTAGTGCTTAACGAGCAGCAACACCATGCACATGTGCAGACATGTCTGTATGCAGTGCATACATACTTACGTACATGCACACAACACCACATACGAATTCCCAGAAGAGCAAACCAACACGGCCGTAATTTTGTGTTGAACTTACTTCGCGGGCTTGTTCGTCGATACATCATAGCTTGTAAAGATGCAGATGCCAAACCAGCTAGCTTACGAACCTCCCCAGACCCTAAACCCTAAACCTAGGCATGTCATGGTCGAACCTGTGATGTCGTACTTGTGGGCGAAGCCCAGCGACTCAATGTCCACATCCTTGGACACTGCGATACAGGAGCCTTGATACTTAGATTAAGGCTTTTGGATATATCAACATGGGGGTGCGTTTCAACCCTTGGTGGGGTGCTCGGTCTTGGGCCTTAAAGCCATTATGGCTTTGGACTTTGGGCTTCGGGGTTGCATCGGCAAGCTACTCGCTAGGGCGTCATTCAGGTTTGCGGATCTGAGTTTGGAGGGGGCTCTTGCGCTTTAGGTTTTCCGTAGGATTTTCGGGTTCAGGGTTTTCGGATTTGGGCTTGATATGCTGTAGGCTTTGAGGGTTCAGGTGCCAGCTCGTGTCTCAACTAGGCCAGGCTGCGTCAGCCACCTCGCCTTCCCAGGTGGGGTCAATAGGGCACATGCGGGCTCTAAGAGTTTAGGATTGTTTCTGGGGTTTCGGTTTAGGGTTAAGGATCGAAGAGCCTTATGGTTGTCAATGTACGGGGCCCGCACAACGACTCTGTTACACTACCTCTTTTGCAGCTTCGGCGCGGTGTACCGAATTGGAATCGAACGGTTCAACGAGGTTCCGACGTGAGTTGTGCTCGTGATGAGGCTTCGGGCCGGGGTGGGGCTGGCCGGGCTGGCCCTACACCTCCACAACCAAGACAAGCATTGGCACTGATTGAACTCTAAGTCACTGCGATGGAACCAAGCCCACACATCGTGCAATCAGACACCGATCGGACGACAGCTATCAAAACCCGTAAGAATCGAAGCTTGCGTAGACAGGGAAGCTATTGCCAGTTCCATGCGGGTAAACTCAAGCTTTTGTATCTCATGGAACTGTAGCCTGAAATCCCTGAACTCCCAAAGCACCAAACCAACACCCGAGCCACTCCGACACCCCAGACCCCAAAACTCCCCCGAGCGCTAGCAAAGCAAAGCTACAAACCGTCCACCTACCCTAATCTGGCAGAAGCTTTTTATTTCTGATGTCCAAATAAAACCGTCATGTGGAAGTATGCGGGCCCTACAAAAGTAGGTTCGGGTGGGTTGAGCTAATATGGGACTCGGGGCAATTAGGAACCATATATGCTTAGGCCTCCAGTTTTGCATGTCTTCTCAGATTCCCCAACCTCCTTCCTCAGCGCTACGAAACGCTCCCCACAGTCACACCCTGTAAAGCCCTAACTTGGGTAGCTGGGTTCCTATGGGGACACCAAAA